CTGAAAGATTTGATTTAGAATTTAAAGATCACTTTTGTTGAGCCATGGCCAGTTTGGTTCAGTGGTTAGAGCACTGATCCGCGGACTGAAGGGTCCCAGGTTTGATTCTGGTGAAGGGCGCTTACCTTGGTTGCAGGCAAAAAAAGGTCACTTTTGTTCCCTGTGGAGAACAGAAGATAGCATTGTATGTTTTTTTAATTAATTTATTTATTAAATTTATTGGGGTAACATCGGTTAATATGATCATATAGGTTTCAGGTGTGGGTTTCTATGTTACAAGATCTGTATATTGCACTGTGTGCCCACCACCCAAAGTCAGATCTTCTCCCGTCACCATATATTAGGACCCCCTTCACCCCCCATCCCCTTCCCTCTGACAACCACCACATAGCTATTTGTTTCACGAGTTTCAGTTTTATATCCCACATATGAGTGAAATCATATGGTTCTTAGCTTTTTCTGACTGACTTATTCCACTTAGCATACGGGGGCTAATCGTGGATTGGAATATGGGGGGGTGGGGGAGAAAGAGGAATCAAGCATGACTCCTAGGTTTCTGACTTNCGGGGGCTAATCATGGATTGGAATATGGGGGGGTGGGGGAGAAAGAGGAATCAAGCATGACTCCTAGGTTTCTGACTTCAGAAAACGTTTACTCAGAAAAGGAACCCTGGAGAAGGAGCTGTCTGAGGAAAGAGATGAGTTCAAATTTGGACAAATTCGGAGTCAGAGGTGCCTACAGGTATCCAAGAAGAGACACCCAGTAAGCAATTGTACTTAAGGGTGGAGATCCAAGGAGAGGAGTCTGGGCATATAAATTGTAGATGGCCCAACAAATAACTGGCATGCTTAAATTTTTTATACCTCTTTCATCTGCTCTCTGTCTCTCAGCAGTTGCAAGAGTGAATCTTGTTACTGCAATCAACAGATGGTTTCTCTTCTAATGCTGACTAACACTTAAAAAAAACATAAATATTTTGCTTATTTTCTTGAACTTCAACTTCAGTATGTAAACACAATCCCATCAAAGTAAGCTCTGAGACTGCCTTTTTTTTTTTTTTTAATGAGTNTATGTAAACACAATCCCATCAAAGTAAGCTCTGAGACTGCCTTTTTTTTTTTTTTTTAATGAGTCTATGAAAGTTTTAGGTCTGAATGCAATCAGACTCTCACATTATCCAAATAGAAAGTGGTAGCCAGGGGGATATGAGTTTCACAAGGTTACAGAGCTGGGCAGTTGCAAAATTGACCCTACAATTCAGGACTCCGTAGTGACTAGGCAGTCTTATTTCCACCGCTTTTCACTGCTCTCCCCCGCCCCTGCCGTGAATACTGCTGACTTCAGAGTACNCAATTCAGGACTCCATAGTGACTAGGCAGTCTTATTTCCACCGCTTTTCACTGCTCTCCCCCGCCCCTGCCATGAATACTGCTGACTTCAGAGTACCTCTTACTAATGATTTGTTTCTTAAAGGACACGGACGATGCTCATGCTGGTCTCAGAGCCCTGAGGGCTACAAATTTGTTTTTATAGAACATTTATTCTAATGATAAGAAATATTCAAATGAAAATTTTTATTTCTTATGAAAGCACTTTAAAACCTCATGGTTCATGGATCTGTTTGGCTTTCTAATGAATGAATAACTTTCTGTGCATATAGAATGCAGTTTTATGTACACTTTTGGGAACTCCATAGATTCCAAGTTAGAGATCTATTATATAACTCTTGGGCTACGTTCAAGGACACGTGAACCAGTTTTTATGGAAAGTGTTCAAGAATTTTCTCATTCACTCGAATGACTACCAATACATTTTAAAGGATTGAACAGTAAATAGTTCAGTTAACTTCTAGAACAAATGCCTTATAGACCAGTCCACGTCTGCTGATCCATTAGTCACTACTGACTAACGTAGTATCCATCTTGGTGACAGTCTCTGGAAGTTTTTAAAGGTGGTTTGGTGGTACTGAATTAGAGAATTAGAAATCTGTTAATGTCTCAGAGCCCTGACAAAGAAATGACTTTTCTTTCCTGATCAAAGTCAGGGCAAAGCCAAGCCTGCTCTTTTGGTTCTAACTTTTTTTTTTTTTTAATATTTCTTTATTGATTTCAGGGAGAGGAAGGAGAGGGAGAGATAGAAACAGTGATGAAAGAGTCATTGGAAGCCCCACANACTCTTTTGGTTCTAACTTTTTTTTTTTTTTTAATATTTCTTTATTGATTTCAGAGAGAGGAAGGGAGAGGGAGAGATAGAAACAGTGATGAAAGAGTCATTGGAAGCCCCACACTGGGGAATGAGCCCGTAACCTGGGCATGTGCCCTGACTGGGAATCAAACCAGTCTCCTGGATCACAGGTCGATGCTCATCTGCTGAGCCATGCTAGCTGGGTTGTTGCTAACTTATTTTTGATGTATCTAATTAAAAATAAAAGGGAGAAGAGAAGATACAAGCCACCATCTTTACTTTCAACCCCTCCAAAGGCAAAAAAAATACAGAAAGCATATGCAGGGATTATGATATAGTGTCCAGAGGAGGGGCAGGGCCTTAACCCTTTGGTCATGTGGAGTTGGAGGTAGAAACCTCTAACTCTGGTGCCAGCTTCTTCCCAGTCACCTCCTGCATTCTGTATTTATCTAATGTTTGCATTCTCTGCCTTTCTTTAGCACAGGAAATTTCTTTCAGGCTGTACCCTCCTGCTCACGATAAATTTCTAGCTTGAAAATTTTCTCTTATTCTATAGCCCCTTCTGCTCAGGATGAATTCATTCTGGCCAGTATACCTCCTTTTTCTTACATGTTTCTTTAAAATCATATTTCTTCTATGGAGCTTCTAATGATAAATTGGCACCTTTTTGTTTTCTTATCATGAGGACAGGGATCTCAGTTTCATTCACCACTAATGTATATTCCTGTTACCTGGGACAGTGCCCAGTGCCTGGTTCAGGCAGGTGCTCAGTGAATGTTTGAATGAATGAATGAATGTCCTCCACATAAACTCCCCTAGAGCGCTCACAGCAGATGCTAGCGCACGCAGATTTTTATTAAAGGGTAGTCCAGTGGTTAACCTGTCAGAGCCCATCACGCAGCACCTGAGGAGCACTGCCTCGTGGTTCTCCACTCTAGAACCTTCTATGGTTCCATAGGGGCTGCACAGAGCTTTCTGTGCTCCACATCCTGTGCCCAGGAGAAGACACTTCCCTGTCTGTCAGGAACTTAGCAGAGTGATCCAGAGGTTTAGCCATGGAGCCAGGTTGTCTGGTTCTAGTCTTCCTGGTTGTGTGACTGGCATTTACTGATTCTTTATGTGCCCCAGTTTTATGCATCTGTAAACTGAGGTGAGCGGTGGCACCTGTTTCGTAGGGTTGATTGGGGATTAAAAGAGTTGCTGTAGGGTTAGCAGGATACTGATGATGGTGGAGATGGTAGGATTTGGCCAATAATGTTGTTGGGTGAGGATTTTTGTACTTTGTTTTTAATCTGATCATTCCATTTTATTAATTTTTTTCATCATTGCTTTCTTAAAATGTGAGCACCAAGTCATCTCAGAAATAGTCCTACCACTTGAAATATGCACATTAAGGAATGTTTTAAAAAGATAGCTTGTTACAAGAGGCAGTTTGATTACTTGGATTAGTTGTTTACATTGTCATGTAAAGTTTATTTTCATGGGGATGCTGAGTAGGTTTTTCATTCCCAGGGCCTGTGTAAAATAAATTTCATCTCTTGGAGCATTTCTACAACACTGTCCTTCACATTTGAATCTTCATCACATATTTTCTGGTGGAAAGATTAATAATATATCACATTATTATAAAATCATGCTGAACTACCAGCATGGGAGATATTTTCTTGCAAGGTTATTTTCTTGAATTTTTAAAGATTATTTTACATAGAACTTAATTGTGCTTCTATGTGCCTTTTTTAAAATATGGTGAATCCATAACTGCCAGATTCAAAGTTTCTGTCAGGAAGAATTATTATTCTTAGGTCAGCCTTAAGAACAGGGAGGGAGGAGAGGGTGGAGTGAGAGAGAGTACAAAGAAAAGCCTATAATTATAATCCACACCCGTAATTGATGATTTATAGTAATCTGGGCATAGAGGGAAATGTAAGTAAAATTGAAACATAATTAATCTGTGACCTGAATTTGTCTTCTTTGGTTTTTGTTATTGCTAAAATATTAATAACAAAAATACTATTCATGATTTCCTCGTAGTCTAAAAAAATTGGTTTTGGTCTTCTGCTCTTCTCTGTCCAAAAAAGGCACTTGGGGGTGGGGCAGCCTTGGAAAGGATCTTAAAATGAAAGGAGAGCATAAAAACAGTAGATAAACCATCTGAGAATTTTGCCATTTGTTTTTTAATGGGGCACGTGGATGATAGGTGTGTCCATGCAGGAACTTCCATTCCCTGTAAATGAGTTGTCCTACTTTCAGTCCACTGGAGCTCTCTGGCCTCCCCACGTCCAGGAACTTACAGGTTTGGAGAGTTGGTCCTTTTGTTAATGGTATAATTTAATTTTAATTCTAAACACACAAGTCCTTTTGTTACAAAAAGCTTAACTACAGTGGGAGGATGAATTATAACGGCTCTCTTGGGTCATACGGATAGCACCGGAAAATGACAGATGTAGAAGAAAGAAAGAGAGTGCTTTCAAAAGGCAAGGCACTTGGCTTGGAAGGCATGGAGAGATGAATCAAAGACCTAGAACAGATGCCATCAAACTCAGCTATTTAAATAAAAGAATAAAAGGAGAAGAACCTTGGTTGATCTACATAGTATATTTTGATCTTTTAATGGCCTGTCAGTGTCGTCTGTCGTGCTTATTTTCAGTTGAAAAGATGTCGGTTGCAGAAGCCGACCTGGCTGCATGGTGTGGTGACAGTGGTCTCCGGTATTTAGTATGTACAGCCTGACTTTTTTGTGGTGGGGGTGGGGGGGCTGTGGTTGTGATCATCAGGAGCCTTCCCCAAAAACAGCCTTCTTTCTTGTGCTTTCCAGATTTTCACTTGATGGAAGACTAATTGTGTCATGTAGTGAGGATAAAACTATTAAAATTTGGGATACCACGAGTAAGCAGTGTATCAGTAACTTCTCAGATTCTGCAGGGTAAGTCCATTGCATTTGTGCATTTATGTGGCATAGTTTGCTAAGGAGACATTTCATTATTACAGTTCGAATAAAGAAATGAGAATAAAGAAATCAGAATATGAGACCATCTTATCCTTTCCTCCTAGGTTTGCAAATTTTGTGGATTTTAGCCCTAATGGTACATGCATAGCTTCAGCAGGTTCTGATCATACTGTGAAAATCTGGGATATAAGATTGAACAAATTACTCCAGCATTATCAAGGTACAATTTCCATAACAAAAGAATTCAGTCGTTGAGTGGACTCCTGGGAAACTCAAGCCGACAGACTGTCCTTCTCAGTGTGGTCTGGCCCTCTTAATAAGAGTCATGGGCTGCCTTTGAACTGACTAAAGAACACTGAGCCCCATCAGCAACATGGTCTGAGAAGCTGGGGTAGATGCCAGAGTGGAAAGGGAGGTGGCAGGACCTTTAAAATGATGCCAGGACTGTAAAAGAAAAAAGAAAGAAATTACTGTGAGACTTTCAAACTCTAGTTGTTCACATTATATGAGAAGTCAGAGATAGAAACTGGCACAAATACTTGTTATAACTGGTAGAAAACAACATCTTACTGTGCCTATATATTGAAGTTAAAAGAGAAATGAATCCATGTCTTGGTTTATATTGGTTTTATATTAAAATTTTCAGACTTAATAAGTGTAATATTTTACCATGTAGCTGACACTGATAAATCCTCACAGCAGCCCTGAGGAGGTATTATTATTGCCCCCATTTTAAAGATAAGGAAATTGAGACTTAAAGAGGGTAAGTAACTTTCTAAAAGAATTGAGAAAACTGACGTGGGTCTTTTGTTTACAAACTTTCCATTGCTGTGTTATGCTGCCTCCTATTGGAAGGATGGTGTCCAGAAATGAATCCTCAAGCTGGCAAGACTGTCCTTCTCCAGATATACCTGCACACTCTTCACCCCTTAGTACCAGCCTACTAATGATTACTGAACCTGGTTTAAAGCTAGGTTATATACCTTATGTGAACTGGTAGTAATCATCTGATGCTTATATTGGTAATATATCTGAAGACTTTTTAGTTTTGTGGTTAACAAGATCATCTTTCTATAACACGTTCTTATTTAGAAAGCTATTCTGTCTCATTAGCTGGATACTTAAGTGTACATTGCCAAACTACGTACTTGTTTTAGTGAGCTATATGGAATTTTGGTGTTTTGGAAACGTTGCCTATAATTGATTTTTGTTTTCCACCTGATATTGCTAATAGAGTAAAGGGGCATCTTTAGAATTAAGAATTGTTCTCTAAAATTTTTGCTTTATTTTCTACAAATCAGTTCACAGCTGCGGAGTTAATTGTTTATCATTCCATCCTTCGGGTAACTATCTCATCAGTGCTTCTTCAGATGGTACACTTAAGATCCTGGATCTATTAGAAGGAAGGCTCATATATACACTTCAAGGACATACGGTACTAACACTGAGACTTCTATTTTTTAAATCATATATATTTAAAGTTTTGATCCATTTTATTATATGCTTTTATTATTTTTCAAAATATAGCACATATTGCTGCTGTCATAAAAAATAGTTTTGCTTCCAAGGTCATGTTTTTATCCTGTGGAAACAACTAGAAATACTATTTATTGTAATTCTTGTCAAAACTAGTGTGTATCTTTTATGGCCATTAAATTAACCTTTCACTGCTGTCTTCATCAGGGTGTAGTTTAGGTTTAACTGGTTAAGTGGTAATAGATAAAATTTTCCCCCTACTTCTGATCTTTCTTGTCCTGTGGAGGCTGTCCCACTAGCTCTGACACTCTTAGCCTCTCACACCCCCTCAGTCACTTCTTTCACTAATCTGGTGAGATTAAAAGGATACATTTATCAAGTAGAGTCCAATGCCTTCTACTCTTAGAAGTAAGCCTGCCCTCGCTTTTCATCTTTGATACTTCTTGTGGGAGGCCTGCTGTTGTCCAGTCTTGCCTGGGGCTGGACACTCAAATATGACTCATTCAGGGATTCAGTTCTAGGAAGCCCGCTAGCCCACAGATAAAGCTACATTCTTTCTTTGCAAACCGTTATCAGTAAGAAAGATGATATTTTGGCTCTCCTATGCCTTATTTCTTTTTCTTATTTCTCAATTGGTTTAGAACTCAGTGAGAAAGAGAGGTCCTATTTATTGAGTCCGTTTAATCACACACACACACACACACACACACACACATACACACACCCTGGCATATAACACACTAAGGAAAAACTTTTTTAAGTATGTAAACTATTCCTCCTTTCTGGGTAAATATTCAAACTTCTCTGAATTTTTAAAATGCATCCTCTCTCTTTTTTAAAGTACTAGATACTTCCTTTTAACCAAGTCTAAGCAGCTTATATCCAGAAATAGAATGGGCTTTGTGGTCTAGGGGAGAAGGGTTTTTTTCTGCCTTCCTATATCCTGCCAGGCTTCCTGCTTTGCTTTGTCACTTGCTCTGCAGCTGTGTTAGCGTGAAGCAGAAATAGACACTAGCCAGCTCATATGTACATATTCACAGGTTTAAGCTGAGTAAATAGCCAATAAAAGTAGCCAAGGATTAAAATATCCATGGAAATAGATTAATAGAAAAAATAAACAATATTTAGGAGAAAAATTTGTACACAAAGATGTAATTTTTCATGGTCTGGAGGAGATGATGTTTATGAGGCTACAATAACCTAAATATGTGGGATGGTCTACTTAAAAAAATATAAAGTGTTTTTTACAAAAAGCTTTCTTTTCTAGATTAAGGACACATTAACAAAACAGAATATGCTGATATTTTTGAAAGGAGAAATCATTACTCTTATCTGGGTTGAAAAACTGACCTGGAGGCTGTGCACGTTGTAACTGTGCCAAGTGTAGTCTTGTCCAACTTCACAGTCATTGCTCAATTTCAAGTTCTCACAACCTCTCACCCAGATGATTGCAGTAACTTCCTAACTGGCCTCCAACCATTCATTCCTACTTCATCCTCTCACAATTGCGACATCAATCTTCATTCAATGTTATTGTGTATTAGTTTCAGGTGCACAGCATAGTGGTTAGATAAAGTGTTTATGACATAAGTTTTCATCATCTCTCTTCTCCTATTTATCTTCTGCTTTTAAAATTAATAGTGGCTCACTGTTACCCACATGACGGGCGAGCTCAGTGAAGCCCATTGTAGTCAGAAAATGGGAAAATGGCCTTTTTTCATGTAGCCTTAGTCTCATCACTCAGAGCTATCATTCAGTTTCTGCTAGTGAGTTGTTGAATAGAGTCCAAAGCCAGAAAATCTTAACAGAAATTCTTATTAGCTTATCCATGTACAAGCTTTTCTTTAAAGGAAAAAAAAAAGTGTACTTTAAAATTTTTATTAGAATTTATTTTTCATTTAATATCATTTATATGTGTTTTCATATAATTGGGCTGGTTCTTTGATTACCTTCACTCCGCCTGCATTAGTTGCTAGCGACAGGATGTGTTCTCTCAGGCCGACTGCATCAATTGTCTACATAAATTAGACAGAAAGAAAATGAATGTTCCCAGTACTCTTAGCCATGAGAAAACTTCACCAAGTACGTTTTCTTTTTCCTCCATTCATTTCTTAGGGACCTGTCTTTACTGTTTCATTTTCAAAAGGTGGAGAGCAGTTTTCATCAGGAGGTGCGGATGCACAGGTTTGTACGTCTTCCTGCTCCCTCTTTGATTAGGTCAAGGCAAGGAATCCAAGACTCCAGTGCAGATTTTTACAACCAGCTAGTTTGTATATGTTAAAATGAGTATTAATGAGCTTATATTTTAACTTAATGCCAGGAAGTCTGCTATTTCATAGCTGAAATCGTGCCAGTTCTGTTAATTCTTGGAACTGAAACAGCAGTTAACTTTCTTGGCTTGTCTTTGCTCTTAATTATACATATAACTGACACTTAATGTACGCCTGGTATTGGTGTGGCACTTTCACTTGAATTGTTGCCTAGTATTTTGTCTGTATGTCTTATGTTTCAAATGATAAGGTTCTTGAGGATAGTAAATATAAATTGTTTATGGGGCAATTTTGCATTTACTTGAAATAGCCAAAAGTCATTCATAGCCAGATTTATTGAATAAGGTGGACAGCATGGTTTTGGGCTTTGGGAAAATAAAGAGGATTTTGAGGTAATAAGTTATTTTCTTAATAAGAATTTTAAACTGGACGTAAAGACAATTCAAAAGGTTAAATCTTTCTCTCACTCCCACTCTTAAAAAAGTATTGAGAAGTAACAATGTTGTTGAAATATACATCTAGTCTTCTTATTTTGAGGGACAATTCTGTATATTCATTTTTTAAAAAATCAGTCAGTTCTATTGCTTGTATATGCAAGTCAATAATTGCCAATGTGATTAATTTTTCAACAGGTTTTATTATGGAGAACTAACTTTGATGAACTGAATTGTAAAGATATTATTAAAAGAAATATCAAAAGATTACATATAGATTCACCACCACATCTTTTTGACATCTATCCAAGAACACCACATTGCCATGAGGGGAAAATTGACAGTGTTGAAGTGAGTACTTTGTACATATTTGTCCTGCTATTTGTAAGTGTACATTTTGGGGCTACTGGTCAACTAGATGCTTGAAATTAATTATATAAAACCTAGTTCTGCCTTAAAACAGCAGAACTTCAAGAAACAATTACTTTTATTAATAACACTTTAAATATGGTAGCATGTAATAAATTCTAAAGCCTCTCATATTTGCTTCTTGAAGGCTTAGAAATAAAACTTAAAAACTGTGTTAATAGTAGTAGGAAATGAGGAAAAATCTAAGGCCCTTGGTAACCGTGAAAGCTGAGAAAGCTTCATATTTTGAATGTGTTTAGGGAGCTCATGTGATGACTGTCATGAGAACGGCGCCGAAGCGTCATCATTTTTATGACAGTGATTGAAATAAGTATCTTGAAGTCCTTTCATATTGCCTTATGGACAATAAAAAAGAGATTTGGGCATTAAACCTAGTAATTGAGACCATTTTACTATTTGTTACATATATTTTCAAGTATGTAATTATCTGTTTAGCTGTAGGTTTCTGTTGACAAGTTCCTTTAGGTCCTATAGATTTAAATGATCTCTCTTTTGAAAATAAAAATCATCTTTGCTGGATACTTTCCATTTTCCATGATTCTCTTTAAGCCCTTTTCTCTTCCAAGAGTTAATATTAAATCATTATTTCCTGTTCATCTGAATTTCTTTTTATCATTGACAGGGCCTCTTTTTGCGTTTAGAGTAGGTATTTTGAGTTCCTAAGACTTACTCCCGAGTGGCCATGCACAGGGGCCCATGCAGTGTTCATGCTGTGCTTCCATCTCTCTCCATGGTCTCTGTCCCCAGCCCCCAATCATTTCTTTAATTTTGGTTTCCTTCGTCTTGGTCTCTCTGTTATCTCAGGTATTTCTGTTAGTCTCAGGGGGTGTGTGTGTGAGTATGTAAGTTTAAGTTTTTAAAACTTAAGTTTTTTGTACTGTTTCCTGTATTTTGCTTAATCTAGACACATTTTGGGATTTCTATTCTAGTTTTTTCTTGGTAATGTTTATTTTCAGTTCTTTGCTATAATTTTGGTCCTTTCTAACTTTGACCTCCTTTCCAGTTTTTCTAAATAAAATCTTTACCATTATGCTTTACTACTCTTATTTTTTTGAAAGAAAGAGTATAATTTGTTTGTGTTTCAGTTTCTACAATGATAGATGTATTGTTTGATCCCCGTGATTACATGTATTCACATAAAATATATGTAAAATATATTTTAATTTGAGTTTCCTTTCCTTGTTTAACCCCAGCTGGTTTTACTAACTCTCTCAGTGTTTTATGTTGTGAGCGTAACTGCTGTGGCGTTGCTGAGCTTAACCGTCCGTGTTCCTGCTGCCCTGTCACTCCGCCACCTTTCCACGGTGATGGGTGGCTGGCTGCAGGCTGAGCCCTGCTTTCCTTACTCCTGATTCAGTGACATTTCCATGACTCCACACTACCTTGGCGCTGGCAGTTCAAGCCATTCTCCCTGTGATTTACTGCCAGCCCCAGCCCATTTAAGAGTTCCCCACTTTCTTCAAAACATCAAGTTGTCTGAGTAGCCCTGCTCGGACTGCAGCCAGAAAGCAGTGAACTGGCTGGGTTGCTTTGTATGGCTAGGTCAGCATGACCCAGGCCAAGCAAAGTACAGTCTCAACAGTATTTTTCACATATACTCTTAAAAAACCATTTAAAAACGGACTTTTCTTCTTGGAATTAGAGTTCAGTTACAGAATGCTGAGTCTTGTGACTGAATTATATTTGTGGCCTTAAGAAAGTTGGCCTGAGTGCACTTAGTTTAAATTATCTCTAAGCAATCATGGTTGCTTAAATTAAGTACACAATGAACACTTGTAAATTACCTTTATATCCTGTAATATAAATTCCAGAGAAGTGATAGGATTCTGCATATGAACAACCAATTGTTTATTTTTTTAAATCTCTTATAATAAAGTTTTCTAGACAGAAAACATTTAATATTAATAAATAATTATTAAATATCAAATTACTTTTTAAAAACTGTAACTGTCACCTGGAGTAGAATAATATGACTCAGACTAGATATTATGCTGTGTGTTCACTTAGATTAGGTAAATTTTACTTTGAAATACTAAATTTTGTGGATTGAATTATTTTTCAAATCTTTAGGCAAAATCACCTTACATGTTACTTAGAAAATGTTTGAAACTTAGCAAAAAACTTTTTTTGAGGTTGGAATTCATGATTAAAAGAACAGAAATGGCCCTGGCCGGCATGCTCAGTGGTTAGAGCGTCAGCCTGCGCACCAGAGGGTCTCGAGTTCGATTTTGGTCAGGGGCACCTACCTGGGTTGCAGGTCTGATCCCCACCCCCTGCTGGGCCGCGTGTGGGAGGCAACCGATCCATGTGCCTCTCTCCCATGGATGTTTCCCTTTCTCCTCTCCCTCCGCAGGTGGGGATTAAAAAAAATAAAGAACAAAAAATGCATTATGAGAGGATGTGGAATAAATGGCATCTATGATCTACTTAATTTCACTAACTTTCTTTGCAGTCACCATAAGTGTTTCATATCTGAGTTTGAAGCAACATAGTCTTTCTGTGACTTGCATTTTATTGTGTTTTCATTTGAATTGCATAATTTCAATCTTCTGAGTGAGGTTGTTTGGGCTTTGGCAAAGGCCACCCATTTGCCAGCCTTCGATGCTCCACTCGTTTGAAGGTGGGGGATCCTGCAGAGTCTTAGGCCTTGGGTACCAGCTGACTAAACATATAAATTAGTAATTTCTACATGGGTGGAGAGGGAGATAGCAGTGAGCTTTCAGAATACATGAGAGAGGAAGGTCACATGGAAGGGCGTGAAGCATGAAGCCCTCACCCCAGCTGTGGGAAACAGACCCCTCGTGCGTCCTCTCTACTATCTCGCTGCACGTCCTTTGTAGTGCTTCTGGCCTAGGCACCACATCTTAATTAAAAACAGGAGAACAACTTCTTACTTTTTTTGGTGGGAAAGATGCCTGATTTCTAGATAATGTGCCTTAACCCCACCCACAATGTGCCTATGGCACATCACTGGGTCGTGCTGACTTTCTCTTCTTCGGACTGTCATGAGTTCATTGCCCAGCCCTGCCCCCAAACAAACGCAAACTTTCCATCTTGGAGGGGGAACTTACTGTGAGTGATGACACTTTGTCCTGAGCAGTCTCCTACTCTTGTGCATATTTTGATAGGAAGACAACAGAGTCACTCTAAGGGGTGGTGATAGATCTTGGTGACAGTTAGACCTCAAAATATTTATTCTGGGAGAACTGCAGAATATTGTAGGAAGGGGTTATGGTTAATTAAAGAGAATTTATTAATAAAAGAATTGCTGTAATGGCTTTTAATTTTATAATGGCTGTTTAAGATGATCTTACTCTATAAATTGCACTGGAAATTCTGTGTGACCTTTAGTAGGAAGGAAAACTTCTTTTAACTAAACCAAATATTTATATAGCAATCTGGCCATGATTCATTGTTGAAAACTGTAAGTGATCAATTTAAGTCTTCAAGTCTGAGATTGGGTTTTATCTCAATCTTCTATAAAGGTTGAAAACATTATAATTTATGATAAATAATGACAACTTCTTTACCAGTTTTGTATTTTTGTTCTAGATGTTGTATATGGCTATATTATTTTGGGCCTCAATAATTGTTCTTTAGAGATTACATGATACTAATAGTAGTAATAATAATATCTAACACATACATTATTTTAATTCCTTTATATAAATTAAGTCATTAAATCTTCCTAAAAACCCTGTGAAGTAGCACCATTTTTATTCCATGAGAAACTGAGGCACATGCAGTTAAATCATAAAACTAGTCAGTGGGAGCACTAGAATTTCAACCCAAGCATTTGGGTCCCATTCTTTACTTTAACCATTTTGATGTAATGCTTCAGTATAATCAGATTTAACATATTAAGTATGACCTATGTGCTGGACATTGTGGTGGCTTTAGGGTATGCAACTGGGAACAAAATGGGCAGGTTCCTTGCCCTTCAGAATTTGTTAGTAGCAGTGTTTGTGTTCATGGACTCCTAAGTATGCTGGATACAGAGAACCTCGGAGTGGGGTGGTTCCTGTGAGGTCAGATAGACTAACTCTCCCTCATGTGTGAATCCCTCAGTTATATGCCATGTTCAGTGATAGAGAATTCAGCCCCTCATAAGGCAGCCCACTTCATTTCAAGGCAACTAATTAGTAAAGGTTTCTTCCCTTTAACAAAAACAGAAAGCTAGAAGGCAGGAATACTGTTGGTATTCCTGGAGGTTAGCTAGCAAAGAACTTAACTGTGAGTGTCAAACACCCCCACCCCCATCCCCAGCATGTTTTCTTTATGGAGAAGACTGTAAACTTTTACTTAGTAAGAATTTTTCCCTCTATTTAATGTATGTGACATCAGCTTGTGCCACAATACAATAAAATACTGTTACATCAACAGTTTCCCAACTTGTAGAAGCTCAAGGATTTCTCAGTGAGGGATGCTGACCATTTATTTCCATGTGATTTAGATTTTTTAGAGCAGTTCCAATCTGATGGTAAAACCAGATTGTATTTTTCATAGGCACACAATTTCATATCTACACTAGGTGGCAGTAGATAGAAGAGAATAAATGTTTGTGAGCAGTCTGTTAGGACAGCTCGCCTAGGAGGGAAAGGAGCGTTGTCCTCAGGTTCCTTGTCTTTGCGGAAACTCTGGCCCCAGAGCTCCTAGGATGGGGCTGCGTGTTCCGCTCTGTGGGACAGCCAGGAGGGCACACCGGCGTTGACAGGCTGAGCACGCAGTGCCCCCCGCACCCTGCAAATTCTAATCTCTTCTTTACTCTAGTGAGGGGATTACTGGGCATGTACACCTCTGCCTCTAACGCGGTTGGCTAGATAATTATAGAAGCTTCTTAATATTTCCAAAACTACAGCTACACCCTTCAAACAGGATAAGTGCTTTTCAAATCATTCTGCTCCTCTAGCCTCTGGCTCAGCCCTTACCCCACAGTCCAGGGCTGTTCCAGTAGTGTCCTCACGGTTGCCCCTTCTTCATTCTTGATACTCGGCACGTCTCTGTCCAATTAATTTTTCTAAGGCATGTTTTAGAAAGTTTTTCTGTGCCTTCCCAAATCCCTTCACCCTTCACAGCTTGACCTTGCCGACCTCTCTCATCGCTACCCTGCGCAAAAGCCAGGTCAGCATCCACCTCTGCTTGGAAATGCCTTTTGCCTCATCGCTTTGTCTCTGTTTTTTGTTTGTTTTTGAAACCTTTAAAAGGGCCGCCTTAAGCTCTGTTTCCTCCATAGGAAGCCTTCGCACGCGGTGCTCAGTCAGTAGTTTCTTCCTTGTGGTTCTCCGCGCGCTTACTGTTGGTGTCATTCATTTCAGAGGAAGTTCTGCTGCCTCTCTTGACCTTTGTTCACTTCTTTGTATTTATACTGTTTAATAAATATTTGGTGACGATGTGGTTTAATTTCATTTTCTCAGATTCGGAAATAACCTCCCTAAGAAGCAGTCACCGCTCTGGTTAATTATTCCTTTGCTTTTTTAAATTTACTATATATGTTTGAATCTATAATTAGGTATTATTTCATTTTTGATGGTTTTAAACTACACAAATGAAATATACTGAGTATATTTTTCTGTAGCCTGCTTTTTTATTTAACATTAAAATCCTGAGATTCCTATGTATGTATGCACTCTGAACTCAGACATTCCTATGTTGTTGCATGTAGTTGTATTTCATTCCTTTCACTGCTGCACGGGGTTCCAGTGAATTTATCACGGCAGTCATCCCCACGATTATGTATCTACCCTACTGTTGGTAAACATTGGGGATTTCTGGTCATGGGTTATTTTTTCTTTTCTGCGATTACAAACAATACTGGTATAACTGATGTTGGCGTCATTGAACTTTCTAGTTTTTGCAGTTTAATAGGTGCCAAGTGCTATTTTGCTTTAATCTTTTCTAATAACTGATGTTTCTGAAAATCTCTTCGTATGCTGGTTATCTGTAAGATTTTCTTTCCTATAATTTTTTTCTTGGGATTTCTGTCTTTTTCACATTCATTTGTAGGTTTTTCTTATGTATTTTAGATATTTGCCCTTTTTAGTGTTAGACATCACACTACCTCCTTCTGTTTCGTTATCTGATTGTTAACTTCATGGTGTTCATTGTTAAACAGAAATCCTTACTTTTGATATAATCACATGCTTTTTTTTCTCTCTTTTTCCTTATGGTTTTGCTTTTGCAGCTTCTGTTTAAGTAGTCCTTCTTGACCGTGGGCCACAGAAATTCTTATACATTTACCTTATTAACTTTATAATTTTACATAACACTTAGGTTTCCAGTTTGCCTGGTCTCTACCTTTGTATGTAGTGTATTAGTAAGGGGTCCATGTAGTGAGCCAGTTTTCTCAACTATAAGTTGTCTTTCCTCTATTGATTTGAGGCACCATCTTCCCTTTACATTTATTTTTCACATATACAGGGCTTTGCATCCGAGCTTCTTATTTGAGAGCCTTTTATTTTGTGTATTGTCATGAGTTTTGTGTGTTTTTTTTCATATAGGTCATACCCATCTTTATATGTTTATTATGATGTATTTAAATTTTTTATGGTATTGTAAGTGATATCTTTTTAAAATTTACATTTCTAACTATCTTGAAGTTAGACATACAATTGATTTTGTATTTTGATTTTCAATTTGGTAAACTTGCTTTTAGTTTTAATAATGTAGCAGTAGATTCTTTGGGGATTTCGCCCTAGACAATTATATATAATGACAATTTTGTTTCTTCTGTTCTAATTCTTACATCTTAACACCTTTTATTTCCTTTTCTTGTGTTAATGAACTGGATAGGATTTTTTTCTGCGTCTTTTGAGGTGGGTCATTTTGTTTTGTTTTTAAAGTCCCCTTATTAGGGGAATTATATTGATTTTCTAATGTAAAATTAACTGTTTATTTCTGGAATAAATTCAGTTTGGTCATGATGATCTTTTGTTATACATTGATATATTTGATAGGCTAATATTTTGTTAAAAATTTTTACATTTATGTTAATGAATATACCAATATATTTTAATTTTAGAATATATTAGGAAATGCCCTCTAAGTTTTACAAATGGCATCCAGTTTCTTGTGATATAAATTTCTAATATTAAATTTTGTCATGTGTGTATACAGATTAATCCAAAGCTTGAAGTAATCGACTTGCAGACCTCTACTCCCCCTATTGTGGACATCCTTTCTTTTGATTCTACCACAGTAAGTTTTCTTTGACTTTTAAATGCATTTAATTATTTGGCACAATCCATTTTTCTTTTTTTTCTCTTCTCCTCCCCCCTGTCCTCCCCTGCCTGCTCACCCCCCTGCACACACTTTCCTTCCCTCTGAGGTTCATCAGTCTGTTCCATGCTTCTGTCTCTGGATCTATTTTGTTCATCAGTTTATTTTGTTCATTAGATTCCACATATGAGTGAGATCATGTGATACCGTCTCTCTGATTGGCTTATTTCACTTAGCATAATACTCTTCAGGTCCCACCATGCTGTCTTATAGGGTAAGGGGTCCTTTTTTACAGCTGCATAGTATTCCATGGTGTAAATGTCCGAGAAGATGCTTGATATGATTTCGATCTTCCTGAACTTGTAGAGACTTATTTTGTGTCCTAGCATGTGCTCTATCTTTGAGAATGTTACATGTGCACTTGGGGAGATTGTATATTCTGCAGCTTTGGGGTGAAATGTTCTGTAAATGTCAATTAAATCCATCTGAGCTAGAGTGTCATTTAGTCACTGTTTCCTTATTGATTTTTTGTTTGGAAGATCTATCCAATGAAGACAGTGGGGTGTTAAAGCCCCCACTATGAGTGTATTGCTGTGGATCTCTACCTTAAAGTCCTCCAGAATATATTTTTTTTCTTCACCCTGTGTCAATATTTTGTTCTGAGGTGGGTCTCTTGTAGACAGCATATATTTGGGTCACGTTTTCTTTTCTTTTTTTAATATATCTTTATTGATTTCAGAGAGAGGAAAGGAAAGGGAGAGAGAGAGACAGAAACATCAATGATGAGAGTCATTGATCAGCTGCCTCCTGCACGCCCCCAACTGGGGATCGAGCCCGCAACCCGGGCATGTGCCCTGACCGGGAATCGAACCCCGATCGCCTGGATCCTAGGTCGATGCCCACGCCCAGCTGGGCTGGGTCATGTTTTCTTATCCAGTCAACTATCCTATGCCTTTTGATTGGAGCATTTAATCCATTTATATTTAAGGGTATTATTGATAAGTACTTATCTATTGCCATTTTATTTCTTTATGCCTGTGTTTCTTTCTATTTCAACTTCTTATTACAGCAGTCCCTTTAACATTTCCTGCAATGCTGGTTTGATGGTGATAAACTCCTTTAGCCTTTTTTTTTTT